GGTCACCAGGTTGAAGTCAGGTGCCATTTCCCGAAGATCTTACACAGGTTATATTGGTTCATTTCCAGAATTACAAACTCTCCAGATGGATAATGAGTGTGACTTTACTGGGGGGTTTTCATTTATTGCTGCAATACAGGATTTGAAGGAACCTTCAACATTCCGAAAAGCTTCTACATGTCCACATTGGCAAAGTGCAATGCAAGAAGAGTTTAATGCACTCAAAGCTCAAGGAACTTGGCAATTGGTTCCTTCTCCACCAAATAGAACCATTATTGGCAGTAAATGGGTATATAAGGTTAAGAAGAATCCTGATGGCAGTGTATCGAGGTATAAAGCCAGACTCGTGGCTCAAGGTTTTTCCCAAGAACCAGGCATTGACTACTCAGAAACTTTTAGTCCCGTAGTCCGACACACTACTGTAAGACTCATTTTGTCCTTAGCAGCTATCCATAAATGGGAATTGAGGCAGTTAGATATCAAAAATGCATTTCTGCATGGTGACTTGCAAGAAGAGGTGTATATGAAACAGCCTCAAGGGTTTGTTGATCAAACTAAACCCCATTATGTCTGTAAGTTGATTAAATCGTTGTATGGGTTGAAGCAAGCCCCTCGGGCATGGAATTCAAAGTTCACGACCTATTTACCAGCTTTGGGATTTGTACCATCTTCATCGGATACAAGTTTATTTGTGAAGAATGATGACAAGGATGTGGTGATTCTTTTACTATATGTAGATGACATCATTTTTGACAGGATCCAATCCTAGCAAAGTTCAGCAAGTTATTGATGATTTGGCAGGTGTTTTTGACTTAAAGGATATGGGCAGACTTACTTACTTCCTGGGACTTCAGATTCACTACAAGGAGAATGGAGACATATTTGTCAATCAATCAAAGTATGTTAAAGATCTGATTCATAAAGCTGGAATGGAATCTTGTAAACCTGCCAATACACCATGCAAACCTCACAATCAAATGCTCTTGCATGAGGGAATACCATTGCAGGACTCTACATTGTACAGAAATTTGGTTGGTTCCCTGCAATATCTCACATTTACACGTCCTGATATAGCGTATGCTGTGAATTCAGTGTGTCAATTTATGACTGCTCCGACAGATTTACATCTCATTTCTGTCAAACGAATTCTTCGATATCTTCAAGGCACTGTAGAGTGTGGCATTACATATGCAGCTGATACTGACATACATTTGACAGCATTCTCTTATGCTGATTGGGCTGCTGATTTGAACACAAGACGATCTGTGACTGGTTATGTGGTTTATCTTGGTGGGAATCCGATCTCGTGGCAGTCAAAGAAGCAATCCTCCGTCTCTCGAAGTTCTACCGAGGCGGAGTACAAGGCACTTGCTCATACTGCAGCAGATGTGGCTTGGATTCGGCTCATTTTGAAAGATTTGGGCGTTGCATTACCTTTTCAACCAACTATATTTTGTGATAATAAATCTGCAATAGCACTCAGTGCTAATCCAGTGTATCATTCGAGAATCAAACACCTTGATACGGATTATCATTTTGTCCGTGAAAGGGTGCATCAAACACAGACCGCTGATATTCTTACTAAAGGATTACATAGTCCGCCGTTCACTCGTCATTGTTTCAATCTCAAACTTGGTTTCCCTAGTTGAGATTGAGGGGGGATGTTGACTGATATTGACTCAAGTGAATGCCACATAATCTGCCATGTCATCAATATTTCTGTTAAAAGTTAGTTAGGAGGGTTATGTGTAGCTTACACAGTAAGCAAGGTAGTTAGACTACTAGAGGGATATAAAAGGCCGATTGCAGTCTAATGTTTGTAAGAAATAACCATTCTATCAATACAAAACTTTTCATATTCTTTCTAGTTTTATTTCCAGGTCTTCTTCTACATTCTCTATAGTTCTTCTTTCTTCTTTCTTCTGTGGTTCTGATCTTCTTTGTTAAGACCGTTCTTTGCCAAAACATCCAACCTTCTAAAAACATCATTATCTGAAGCCCTCACTCAATTCTATCCCTTCGCTGGAAAATTCAAATACAACGTTTCAATCGACGGCAATGACTACGGGGCTGCTTTTCTTGAAGCCCAAGTCAACTAATATTAGACATTTTGGACAACCCCGATTTCGAGATCCTAAATTGACAACTGCAGAGCAACCCTAACTTCGCTAATTTGTCGGCAATTGTCTTTCCTTCCTGACATATATGAGAGAAGCAGAAACCCATATGATCCGACTCCAGAGAAACAATTACAACATGAAGCTACACAAAAAGATAAAGTACATATGATGATACAGCCTATGAGAAAACCACTAATAAAATAACCCAAGAAATCCTCGGAATATGCTATCACAAGCTGCAGAACCCGGGTTACCTTAACATCTTTATTATGCAGGAAAATAGTAGTGGATTAACAATGAATCTTTCATACAGGAAAATAGTGGTAGATGAACAATGAATCTGTCTTTGCATATAGTTATTGGTCCAAAGTCGCTCTCTTTGTGAACATTAACAATATATTGTTTCTCAATTATTGGCTAACTGTTCTGTATAATATTGTGGATTCCTTAAAATAGGTTTGGACAATAAACGGGATCTAGTAGACCACTATAGACTTTGGCACTTTGCGCAGGGTTGCTGTCGTACAAATATTCACACCATTATCCCCAACTCAAGTGCAGAGAAATGATGGGTTCAGAGATGAAGGTAGAAGTCATTCACAAGGAAGCAATCAGACCATCCTCTCCAACTCCTCACTACCTCAAAACAACCAACCTCTCTGTTTTTTATCAGCTTATTCCTGATATTTATGTCCCCTTCCTTCTCTTCTATCCCAACAATAATACCAATCACCGATCTTTAGCAGCTGAAAGATCGAAAATCCTTAAGACATCATTATCTGAAATACTCACACACTTCTATCCCTTCGCAGGAAAGTTCCACTATAATGATTCAATCTGTTGCAATGACCATGGTGTTGCATTTGTTGAAGCCCAAGTCAACTGTCCCATATCCAAGATTTTGGACAAAGCAGATATTGGGATGGTAAAACAATTGCTTCCAGCTGATATGGCATCCAGACAAGCAGTCACAGGCTATCTTCTACTAGTCCAGGCCAATTTCTTCTAATGCGGTGGAATGGCAATTGGAGTCAGTATTGCGCATAAGGTCGCGGAAGCGTCTACAATCAGCACATTCATCAAAAGATGGGCTGAAATTGCACTTGACTTGACCAGTAGGCCCCGTACTGATCACCAGTTAGTTCTTCCAGCAGAATTTGGGTCGCAGCTTCTCTTTTTCCACCACAAGATATTCTCAATGCACCTCAACCGACCTTGGAATTTCCTAAAGAAAAGTGTATAACAAGCAGATATTTGTTTGACGCTTCAAAGATTGCTGCACTCAAGTCCAAGTCCGCCAGTGCTACTGAACCAAATCCTACACGCATTGAAGTAGTATCCGCTCTCATTTGGAAATGCGCCATGGAAGCATCAAAATCAAAATTCAGGTCAATAAGGCCATCTGCTTGGTGTCGCACGGTGAGCATGCGAAACTTGTTGGTGCGGCCCTCGGCAGAAAAATTATTGGGAAATCTTGTGGGGAAGTTTATAGCAAAGGCCGGAGAAAGTGAAGTCATGGGTCTTGACCTTCAAAGCTTTGTTGGTAAGTTGAGGAAAGGCATTGAGGAGTTCAAAGTAAAATATGCTAATAAAGTTACCGGGGATGCATGTGAGTCCTTGAAAGAGTATGGGGACCTCTTACAGAGGGATGATATAGAAATCTATACCTGCAGGAGTTGGTGCAGGTTTCCCTTCTACGCAGCCGATTTTGGATGGGGAAAGCCATCGTGGGTGAATCAGAGTCTCGAAGGCAAGAATTTGATTGTGCTGATGGATGTGCGAGATGGAGATGGTGTTGAAGTGTCCTTAACTTTTAATGAAGAAGACATGGCCATAATTGAAAGCAATAAGGAGCTGCTTGCACGTGCTTCTCTCGGTCGGAATCTTATTCTTCAAAAAGATGTTGCCCTTGTTGTATGAGTTTTGTTGGCTGGGAAAGTTCAGGGAGCAATGAGAAGTCGTCCAGCACAAGTATTTCTTTTTTCCTTAATTAACATGCTGCACTTACTATCTATTTATACCAGCTTTCTAATAGAGGTAGAACTCATCAACACATGTGGGTCTCACATCTCTCTAATAGAGAGGATATAAATGATGGTACAAATTGTAACAATAGCAATTTTTGAAGTTTTTATTAAGTGGCTGGCGCAGCAATTATTGTCAGGTGAAGATTTGGGAAGAGATTGTTGTGAAACATAAATAACGGCCATTCTTACTCAATGTATGTTAGTAAAGCATCATAAACAATCATATTAATGTAGAAAGCCTTTTGGGTTACCACTCATGTATTTGATGCCCTATATAAAGATGGCTTATTGATAATTCTCTCCTTAATTTCTTATCTCTCTCTATTGTCTTTTACTTCATACTTTATTTCCAACACATTATCAGCACAATAACACTCTTAATTTTAGCACCAAAATAAAGAGACAAGGAAATGAAATGAATACTGCAAAATCATCAGCACGTTATACAAGAACAGGATTATATATGCTTCAACTACAAATTCCAATTAGTTTATTTTAATAAACTTTACTGCCGAATGTCCTTTCTAACATATATGATATTGTTTTCTTCTTACAGATCCATTATTCCACAAGGGCATGTGTGCTAGGGGTGGGTTCAAAAAACCGAAAACCGAAAAAAACCGAAAACCAAACCGGACTGAGGCCGAAAAAAACCGAACCGAAACTGTCAAACCGAACCGAACCGAATCTGGTCAGTTCGGTTTCGGTTTTTGAGGTTCGAAAACCGAACTGAACCGAACCGAACCGAATTATATATATTTAATTATTGTTTTCAATATTATAAATAGTTTAGTCATACAATCATAACAAAACAAAACCTGTTGCCAAGTTGGTTTCAGGGAAAATTTTCAAGTTGCAGCGCAAGGGTTCGAACCCCCATGCCTCCAACATTTCAGAAACGTTTTTTAATTTTTTTGAGAAATCCCCTTTAAGTTAACCCTAGCAGCCACACCTTTTATTCATTCCCCTCTTCTCTCTCTCGTTCCCTTCCCTGCCTCCAGTGTAACCCTAACTAACCCAGTAACATTCTCGCGCAGCCGAGCCTCCTCTCTGTCTTTCTCAAACTCTCTGTCTCTCTTGGTCTTGAATCCCAGGCGACCCGCGACGGCGCGACCCTTCTCACTCTCAATCTCTCACACCTCGCCCTCGCCGTGTGCTTCGGCGACCTCGAACAAGTGAAGGCGATGATCCTGATCCAAGTGGAGCTCACCAACATGGACCTCAAATCCATCTCCTCCAGGTCCTTGCCCGACCCGCATACCCTCCGAAAGTCCTCTCACCTCATCGGCCCCAAAGTCCTCCAGGTATTGACTCCTCTCCGTAATTTCTCTCGTGAATTTTCTGGGTTCTCTTTTGTTGCTGAGAAAATAGATAAACAGAAAGAAAAATGTGAGCTTTCGTCTGTTTGTTTGTTGATTATCAGATAGCTTGGGTGAGAGATCCAGGAAGAGGCGATGGACCGATACATAATGTTGATGCCAATGTTGAATACTGTTCTGTGATCAAAACAAAATTAGGGGCTCATCGTATTCTGATGGGTGCTGAAATGGATTGCTGTGATTCAACTGATGATGGAAGGAGGTTTTATGTGGAATTAAAGACAAGCCATGAGGTTGAGATCTGTTTTTCTTCACTTTCCGTTACATGCAAATTTTTTCTTCTCTGAGTTTTCTTATGTAACTGACTGTAATTTCTCATTCAATTGTGCAGTTGGACAACCATAAGATAGAGTACGAGTTTGAGAAAGAAAAGCTCCTCAAATTTTGGGTACATTACTGTTTTAAAGACAAGCCATGAGGTTGAGATCTGTTTTTCTTCAATAGCTTTTGTTAGAGATTGACATGCATAGTTGAAATCATTTCGATAGTAAATAAATGAGTAGAAGTCAGTTTGAAAAGAAAATAAACTTTGCGAAATTTTGTAGCATTTAAATGGTGATGTAAAGCAATGATGTATAACTAGTTAAGATGACAGATAAAAGCTTAAGTTGGTGGATATGAAAATAGTTCAATTGGTGGAAGATTGTTCAAGGTAAGAGTCTGTAGTCTCTGCATTTCTTAACAATTGAATAGAATGTGAACATTCAAAGTTCTAATACACATTTGTTTCACAATTGTATAGGACTCTCTATTGACGAGTTCTCGAGGAAGAAGTTGGATGCAACTGCAGAGGAGCTCAGTGAGGAGAAAGCTTTGGCATACTCTTGCCTCTCTTAGATGCTCTTGGCCTTTCCTTGGTGTGGTTGTAAGTTGGCCTCCCTGCAATGTGTGAGAAAAGCAGCTGAAGTTTTGAATAATGCCATTGTTAAGATATGTTAATGATGCAGAAGCTGCTTCTGTGGGTTTTACGGTTGTTGAGCCCAATATTCTATTCGGACACTTCGACTTTTTTCTTCTTTTAGTTGCATATTTGAATGGGATTGTCCCATTGACGTAAAATAATCCATATCTGCCTTGATTCTAATTTGTTAGTTCTTGTGCTTATGTTGATTTCCAAGACTTTCTTGGAGGAAAAAAAAAAAAAAAAAAAAAAACCGAAAAAAACCGAACCCGAACCGAAAAAACCGAACCGAAAAAAACCGAAAAAAATATGGGCCGAACCGAACCGAACCGAAATTTCGGTTTGGTTTCGGTTTTGGCAAAAAACCGAACCGATAAGAACCGAACCCAGCCCTAATGTGTGCTTATTCGTTTCATGGCAGATATATGGAACAAAAAAGGTGAGATTAATATCGTTGCGGCTTGCATCATGAATGACATATCTTTATTGCATCATCAGCTTATGTTAGTATTCATGTATTCACTAAGCGTGGTTTCAATTTAGTTAATTGTAATATAACTCCAATTAATAACGTAGTGATGATGAATTTACTAGAGATGAGGACATGCAGTCCCTTTATTCTCGTCAAATAGTCAGATCCGGACCTTAGTTCTCATCACATGATGATTGAAGGGCCTATAGCCTCATATGAGTACAAAGTTCATAGTTATGCAATTGCTAGAGCCTATAGCTCATTGCATCAATAACCAAATGAGAATACGGACTTATGGGATTTAGTGGATTGTATTGAGTATTCTTTTCCCCGAAATTGTTGCAAAATTATTTTGTAATTTCTAGTAATGAAATTCCACATCCCAGTGATAAAGTATTGAATTAAAACCTAGAGTTCAATGATTCTATATAATTGAAAGCCTGAAATTTCTTGGCTTAATTACATAAACAACGCAAACTAACTTTTGGTACGTTTATGGTTATGTAATTAGGTATCGAGCATGACTGCTTTACACCAAAACATTTGGTGTTTTTACCAAGTCTTTGATCAAAAGAAAAGGAAAAATGTTGGAGACAATTTTACAACTCTCCCACGAATTTTAACTCGGTGGATATAACCAATTTGACGTATAAATTCCATTCTAGTTGATGAGTTTTATATCCCACCTTGGGCTTGCAAGCAATTAACAGTTGAGTTATCTCCCAATAGCTTGGCTTTTCATTTTATTTCATTTAATTTTTCAGCATTTTATTATGATGATTTCAATTTTCTTATATTAATATGCATTCGTTCATTGAGTTCATTTATTTTTATATTGAATTATATGTTAATCTGTTCAATTCATTTTTTCGAGAAAAAAGCTTCTACGTTCTCTTACAAGTTGTATCACACATTCAAAAGAAGTAGTGTATGTTTGTCATGAACCAGAAGTTCATTAACAAATCATGGCATGATTATCTTGGCTATTCAACATCCACAATGATGTGTAGGATAATTACAAATTTGTACGGTCATATTTTGTAGGCCTCAATATAGTGCCCTGTGCACGTCCTTGCAAGGATTGCTTGTACAGAAAATTGGTCCTCAGACAATGTAAGTCAAAATTGACTTTGAATCCCCATTTTCTTCTCAAGATTTAAAAGCATATTTGTGAGCTTATTCACCATCTAATTGTGTACCATTTGACCTAGGTGTACCTATAAGATGGTCATTGTGGAGTAAAAAATAATCCCAAAAATTCAGAAGACGACACGTGAACTTTCTCTCGAAGAAGACAATATTTGCCCTCATTAAATGGACAGGGCTCTCAAATATTCGCATGCACAGCTCAACTTCCTTGGAGGCTCGAGCAGTTGCCTATGACACCATCAAGCTCATCTGGTCACGGTATGGAAAAGTCAAAAGTATTAAAGATATAATTAATCACCAAATCCTAAATCCTATAGTTAATACATTCCTGATTGAAGAACAACTCAAACAAGTAAGGAATCCTCATCACTATCAATTAAGAATACTTACATGATAATTCTATGATTTTATCTCCTAATTAATATCTTGGAATCATTCCTTCTTCGTCCATTCGGCCACCTCCCATAAATACGTCATCTCCACCATCCACTGGTAAGCTTTACGCTACGCATACAAGCCTTAAAATTTCGACTCTTTTCTGAGTTACTGACTTAGGCATTGAAGATCCAATGACCAAAAAAAAAAAGTTAGGCGCGTGTGGCTTCGTCAAGATTGAAGACGGCAGATTCTTGCTACCACAGTCATAATATTATTTGATAGTTATTGTACCGCAATTTCTCGAATTTCGAAGAATATTTCATGTCAAATTGGGATTAATTTTGAGCACAAAACTTCTCATGGCTTAACAAAAGCCTTAAGCATTTTATTCATTGCTAATTTTTGCTTTGGAGATGCATTTTGAGCATGTGGATCATCATGATCAATTCGGTTGAGGCAAATTTTCCAATCAACAAGTAATTGTGAACACAAAGGTGGTTTTGTCAATTAATATTGGGATTTGAGTCGATTTAGTTATGCTCGTATTTACCGTGTTTTGCGAATTTTAACTAAATTGTCTCATCGTTAGGGGAGAAATGTTAGTTTTAGGAACATCGTGAATCTATGTTGATACATCTGCTCTTGTCTCATAAATGACGTATATTACTTTGTTCCATGCCTAAGGCATGACAGATATATAGGTTTCCAACTTTGAAATCCTCAAAAGTGAAGGTTAATAAAGTTAAGCATGATTGAAAATAATGCTCCATAAGAGTTTATGACGAATTCTCTAAAGAATTTATCTTGAATGCTCTAAATAATTCATCTTGAAATGTTTGTATTACAAGTGACAATGGACGCCCTTAAGGAGAACAATACCCAAACAATATGATACTTATAAATTACATATGCGCCTGCATATAGAAATTGTTTTAGATCACGAATTGATGATAATTGATAATTTGATAATAGTAGCTACTTATCATATCATCAAGAGCTATTTAATCATGTGTTACCATTAATGTCAACAAAGTAAAGTGTTCACCAAATTGGAAAGAGGCAAATTCCATTTTTAAGAGCCATTGAAAAACGTGGAATAAAGGAACCTATAGTTTTAACTCCAAAAATTAATTTTGGGTGTATGTCACAAAGTGAGATAAATTTACTATGGCATAACGCTTATTTGTAGAGACATAGTCTACTATTTTAAGTGCAACCACATTTCTATAAGTATATTGATATTTTGAAGGTGAGACTCATAGCATGTGAAGGCTGCTTACTTGTAACGACCCGTCCCCAATTATTACAATTTTATAAAGTGAATTTTCGAAAATGCCCTTCAAGGCAAATGTGTTGACTTTTGTTGACTACATTGTCTAGTTATGTAAGATTCATTTTCTTGGCATATCCTCGTAGTACTCGTCGCTACGGACGCGTGGGCGCAAACGGATCGTGATTTGGAGTTATAACGAAGGAAATATTAACGTTTAAAGTCGGGGGCATTTTAGTAAATTGGTTATTTTCTAGAAAGCTCCAGATTTTTGAGCCACGTGTGTGGCCCGGATTTAAAGAAAGAAAAGTTGGGCGGTGGAGATGAAATATAAAGGAGGGAAAGAAGGGGGAACCGGCCAATGAGGAAAAGAAGGAAAAAGGAAGTGACCAATGGGGGAGAAAAGATAGGAGGGGAAAAGAGAGAAAGGGGATGCACCGGATCACACTTGACCCAGTTACACCTAGCCAACTCGCGCGACCCGGTTTTGACTTGGGGCTAATTCCAGCGGTTCGCTTCGGTTTTCTTCAGTTTTTCCAACAAATTGTGGCTATCCCTCATCTAGAACCGACTCAACAACCTTCATTCTTCATGTTTCACTCCAAAATCGAAGGAATTGGACCTTGATTCATGAAGATTGAAGCCATTGGCTTCGAGGGCACACACGACGGTGAATCCGCCATTCCTGAAATGATTTCGTGCAATTTCCACCATCAACATACTTATCTTAAGTCCAGGAAGAATACCCAATCATTTGTTGGAGCGTTGGAGTCGATATGAGAACGAATTAAGAAGCACTCTTTATAGGGTTTCCGACGGGTTTGGACGAAATTGGGACATTTCCCAGACAAATTGGCCTTAGTCACAGGTATAAAAGTTGCTCCACTCATTGAGATCTTCATTCCTGTAAAATTTGGTAATTTTTTAAAATAGTTGAATTTTCCGACGAGTCTGGGTGGCCGACCACCAACTGCGGTGGCGCGTGGCCAATGGGCCGCCGATGCTATTTTACACTAAATTGATATCCTGATCTCAGATTTGATAACCATGTGATGTGATTTGAGTATTGTGAATCTAGTTTGATTAAGGTGTGTTACTTGACAATTATATGAATCGACGATTCGACTATTGGATTGTCACCAAATCTTGATACGATATAGTACGTAATATTTGAGGATATTAGAAACTTACGGATCGGGAATCCGATGTACGGATCTTCTCGAATAGGATATGTAAGTTACGTATTCTATTGATAAGAATTCTAAAGCATGATTTGATAATTGTTCTAAGCGCCGATTGTTCGTGACGCCTTGATGTTTGTGCTAGGGAGTTGTAGCGCGGACTCCAGGTGAGTGAGCTTTTGGTCTATATATACATATATATACATATATATGTTTTACGTTTTCCCAGAAACTATTTTAAATAATCGTATATCTTTAAGTGTCATGTCATACCTGCATTTCATTTTAGTATGTGCATTTGTATTTGTATGCATGATATCGCATGACGCGGCGGAGCCCAGGTAAGCATCAGGTGAGTACTAGATGATGATAGTGGTTGCATTGTGTGTGGTTATAAATAAATGCATTTAGAGCTCATTATCCTACACCCCAGTGTTAGTACTCCTCCCGAGGCCAGGGCCTAGCCTTCAAGTGATCGTTCACCTCCCGCGCCACACGCTCACCTTGGATCCAAGGCAGGGGCCAACCTGTCATACAGACCACATTAGGTGGTTCCGACTCGTAGGTGACTTGCGGTACTTCGCACAGCCTTCACGTGATCATAGCACTTGAACGTATCTATTTACACCCAGCCTGTCATACAGACCACATTAGGTGGTTCCGACTCGTGTGCAGGAATTGGTTATGAGCTTTAGATTCAGCCGTACAGGCTCCATTAGGTGACTCTGGTTGATATATCATTTTATATTGA